GCCTCGCTCTAGTACATTACAAGTTCAAGAAAAGTTATAAAACCGAACACAAAGTATATTAGCAAGTTTCACAATATAACATATACAAACAAAACGTGAATGTTGCGGCTGTTGAGCCTTCATCAGCACATACAAATGAAACAGTACTACACAGATACACAAAATCACTTAGCTGGTATCTCGAAGCAGACTGGTCGGTTGTTTCTCAGCAGAATGCCTACATGTTTCAGCTGGGGGGAATAAATACCCCCCTGTGGAGTACCAGGGGCCATAATTGGGGTTGGAGATATAACTGTGAAGGGAGTTCAGTCCCCTGGGAGTTTAAATAAAACTGTGTTTTCAATTCAGTCCGGAGGGTGTTAAAGTCCACAGGGTATAAATAAAGCGATTCTCAAGCAGGGGAGGGTATTGTAGACAGCTCTGATCGATTATTTGTGGAAGTGGAGTAGTTTTGGTCGGTGTGGCGCAGGTAGTGACAAGGCAGGAGGCGTGGATCTCTTGTGTTCAAGCGATCTCAAAAATGTAATTGAGTTTCGTCCCTTTTAGGACGAAATTTTTTTTGTTTTTTGAAGCCCCACCCTGACTTTTGCCAGGGACCGCAATATAGGCAGGCCATAAATATGGCCAATTGTCTGAACGCGGTTTCTGGGACCTCTCCACGGCGATCCTCATCCACATGGTGGCACTTTGTGTCATCGGGTGTTTATCGCTTGTGTGATGTCCTAGTGGGGTAGAAAGTCAGTCAGAGACTTGCGGACTCTGTTGCTGGAATGGCTGTCACCTCCATGTCGAGGACACCTTGGTGATCCTGGGAATTGAAATGCAACGGTACTGGTTTCAGGGCACCATTTTGCACATTCAAAAGATGTCTGAACCTGTCGGCCAGCCGAAGACCTGTTTCACCAATGTATTTCATGCCACATCTCCTGCAGTTAGTGGCATAAATGACTTTGCGGCTGGTACAATAGAATGCTTCACGTATGTGGAAGGTGGCGATAGGGGATTCTAGACTAGCCACCTGGACCACATATGGACAGGTTCTGCATACAGATCTGTGGCAAGAGACCGTGCCGAAGTAGGGCTCAGACGCTGGGCGATTCCTACTTGACTAAGTTGTGTCAACGCACCTAAGACTGTTCTAGCGGTTTTTATAAAAGTGTACCGGTTCCTTTACACACCGGTGGCACATCGGGAATATGAGCATAGACTCATATTTGTATATACCAATTGTTGTGGCCAGCATCACGTCGGTCCCTTCCCAGGACTTTACCTAGTACTGATTTAAGGTCAAGTCTACCTAGGAGCCAAGGTCATGTGTGTGTGTGTGTGTGTGTGGGGGGGGGGGTGAGAAGTCGGTTTTATGGGGATTTGAACCCATGATCTTCGGATCCGCAGAGAAGCGTGGTGTGGCGGCTAGCCGTTTTGTTTTCGACTTTTGGTATATGTCGGCTTTCACCGCGTACTGACTACTCTCTTTTGAGTTTGCCCTTACAAGAACGGCTGGCACTTTGTGTCGTTGTTAACTGCTAGGCCGCGATATTTTTGCCTTTCGGCTCAACACATCCGATTTCAGCTAAGCTGTAATTAGCCGCTTTTTGATATATTTTAGGAGAGGGGGACACCCCCCTCCCCCTCTTTTTGTCAGTGCTGCGCCAGTACCAACTCGTGGAACATACTAACACAAACTTGGATAAATGAAACCGAAAAACAAAACAAAACACAAAAAAAGCCTTCTAGTGCTGTGTCCCAGATTCATATTAAATATATATGGCCATTTGACCCATTTAAACAAAAACTACCTCCCGCCTTTTGAAACGTTACTTTAAGTAGTGTTTGAGAATATTTGGTAACTTGTTACCGCCACCTTTCCCATTTCTCTTCTAATTTAAAAGTGAAGCCCAAAGTATGGTTTATAGTCTGTTCAGAATTTACCGTTACGTGCGACAGGAAAAAAAAAAAAAATGCGGGTCACACCCGCATTTCTTACTTGCCGTTTCATGGCGGGATTTTTAACTTGTTGCTTTCAAAATGTTTGTACTTCTGTCGCCTTGAGATGGGGCGGGGCAACGGGATGTTGACGATGTTTTGTGTACGTTTGTTACGTTTAGCAGCTGTGAGAATGCGAGCGAGGGCAGATCTTAGTATCACTTTATTTAAATACATCCAAGCCGTGTTGGTGACTCAGTCATCTGAAAAACGCAGGAATGGCATAGTGCACTTAGGGACATAGAGACCTCCACTGCTGTAAAGGGTAGTGATACGTGATGAGTTTCTTTCTATCGTTCTTCCTTTCCTTTCTTCTGTTCAGTCAAATCGTTTCTCTCTTTCTTTCTTTCATTCGAAAATAAGACGGGCCTGCCTACCGGCTTACCCAATTTGTGACTTTGAAAAAAAAAGTTTTTTTCGTTCATTCTTTTGTTCTTTCATTCAGTTATTTTGTTTTTCCTTTATTGGTAATTTCCCCAGAGTATCAAGAGTTTTTCGTTCAGTTATTATGTTTTCCCTGTCTTCACCCACTTATTTCATGTGTGTGTTTCATCGTTTTTCTTTGCCTCCTTTTTTTTTTCTTCAGGGGAGTGGGGGTCTGTAATTCTGTTATTTCTTTCTCCTTGTCTTGTTTTGTTCTTTCTTCCAACATTTTCTTTATTGCAGTGGTTGTTTCTTTTTTTTTGTTATTTCTGGCAGCAGTTGATTAACTGGGCGATTAAAAAACCCACACGAGTGCATTCCAAGCAAGCTCACAGATACCCTGTCTCTTCTAGCAGACGTCCTGCCTGTGGAGATACTTATCATTTCAGTGACACCCTGGTTTTAAACACACACACCCCCCCCCCACCTTCAGGCCCCAAGTATATGCCAGAATCACTGTTAAATCTAAACAGAAGCATTCTAGAATATATTACATCTGTTGCTTTACCTGCAGGAAACTAGGAGACCAGGTCCCTGAAGCCTCCTCTCGCTCAGTAATTTCGTAAGAGGACTAAGAGACCCCCCCCCCCCCCCCCTTTTTCAACCATGTATTCTCTGTAAAAGTATTTGGTAATACATTTTATATTATTTTAAGTATAATATTATTTATTTGCTATTCTGAACACAAACAAGTATAATGGTATACTTACCAAAATGTGAAATATATAAACAAATACTCTAAAAGATCATTTTTAACATGGTGAAGGGGGCATCTTAGCTCCCTCACACAGTTATTAGAAGTGGGGAGGGGGAGGGGGGGGGGGGTTCACTGAGATATCTGAGATCACCCCCCCCCCTCCCCACATTTTCCATAGAAACTTGTAAGGTTGCAGCCATTGTATTCTTATTACACAGCTCATGTTTTACTTAGATTAGAAGGAGGGGGGGGGGGGGGGGGGCTTCCATAACTGAGTGCAATTTTTGGGGGGCTGGTGGCGAAGTTAGTCCACCCCCACCTATGTTGTGTTCATGGCTGTGCACCCGGCTGTACCTTTAGCTAGCATTTCACTCAGAGACGTACTTCAAAATATCTGCCTTATCTATCATGAGTTAGTTAACGAAATGTGTACATAATAATTGTTAAGTTCCTTCTCAAACACTGTATATTTCTGTTCTCTGTCTCCAGTTGTCACAGTGAACTGTGCTCCTTTTAATATGATGTGTCCCAGTGTGAGTTTTGGGTCTATTTTGGGTGTGGGGAGAATAGACCCACAGTCTCCATAACAAGCATGATGTAAAAGTTGACTTTTTTCACATTCACCGGCTGTAAACTCCAGAAAGTTCTGGGTTTTCTTCCACCTCTATACTTTAGTCTTGTTCCAGAACTTGAGTGTTACATGCACATACGTTTCACAAATCTGACTTAATTGAATGCAGACTCTTGGTTCCTTGCCTCTCAGGCAAATGTACTCCAACTTCAAAGGATGTACCCAATTTGTCGACTCCTACAACATGCTTGTTGGGAAAACAGTGGGTCAATTCGTGTTCTCCCCCCCCCCCCCCACAGAACCCACACAGGGAGTGAAAGATTGATTTGATTTGATTCAAAAACTGACATAACAGAACTCGGGGCATTCCCATAAGCGCTCCGTCCCCATCTTCAGCAGCCATCGAAGAGTTCCGATACTAATGGTGCCAGTCTGGATTAAACGTCCGTCTGAGCCTTTAACATCTGCCAGAACCTCTCGTCACTCCCCCATGGATCAATCTCAACAGACTGGTGATCCATCTGCTCCTCCGAACTGTACAAGCTCTCCCACAAGGCACTAACCACGTCTGCCTTATCAGTATTCCACCAAGCTGTGCAGAGCCAGCCAGTCTGTCCGCCTGTTACAGGGAGTGAAAGGTGACTGGTTAGCGGTGTTTCCTTTGAAGGTGAAGTACATCTACCTGAGAAGGAGGAACCAATAGTCTGCTTTCAAATAAACCACATCTGTATAATGGATGTGCACACAAAACTCAGGTTCTGGAATAAGACCAAAGTTCAGAAATGGACAAAAAAAACCAAAACCTTCTGCTAGAGTTTACAGCCAGTGAGTGCAAACAGAACAAACAGATATGTACTGTGTATGCTGGTCTTTATTTCGCTAACGCTGTTCATGATTTTCTCGTTTTATTGTCTGCATGGTCTTTCTACTCATGAAATTTCTTCAAAATGGCTCACTGTAATAGTATCAGAGCATTCTTGTCAGGTGGAAAACAGTTTAATCTGTTGGTTAAAATATTTTCTGATTTGTTTTAACCATAGCCTTCTAATGTTCAAGATTTGTTTGATCCTTTTTTTTTCAAACTGTTTATCCCCTGTGAGATGCTACCTGAAGATTTGACCATCCTGAGATTACAGAATCTCAGTTTGGTTGGCAAGTCAACAGAAAAATCCCAGATACCCTGTTAGACCTTGAAATATAATTGATACACCAGCCAGATGTAACATGCAGTCCTGTGTATGTAAGGATTTCATTTCTTTGATTAATTGTGAACTGAGTCATCAATTGTGGCAATACATTTCTGATTGTATTCATGATTTACAGCAGTAGCCATTTGGCAACATCAGCTTTGGGGTTTCATGATGAGGCAGATGAAGCATTCACATTTGGAATAGACAGTAATGGAAGCAAACACGACTTGGATGATGTTTGTTCACAGGACAGTGGTCTTGGTGGTGAGCAGGACAGGGTAAGTTTAAGGCTTTGAAATTTGAAACATTCGTTGGTCAGTAGCCGTTAACTTTTACCGCCCAATTGACTTCTTTGTCTGCATTTGGCCTGAGAAGGGTGGTTGACCTTCTGTGTTGTGGTTTGAAACTGGATATTTGTGCTTCAGACCCCAACACGTTTGATTTCAACAAATTCTTAATTATTCTTCTTCTTCAGCATTCCGAACCCTTGAGGTTCATTGCTGCGGATGTCACCCGCCTCCACTTATCTCTCTGGTTGGCCTTCTCCCTCCACTTGGTGATACCAAGTGGTTGCAGGTTTCTCTGGACATTATCTCTCCATCGTCTTCTTGGCTATCTGGACATTATGTCTCTATCGTCGTCTTGGTGTGCCTCGTGGCCCTTGTGTATACAATTTTTACCTCTCTGTCATTTGACATTCTCTGAATATGTCCCAGCCATTTCAGCCTGTTAGCTCTCATGATGCCAGTGATAAATGTTGTTATAAAAAGATTATGAATTTCATTGTTACTTCTAACTCTCCCTTCCCAGCTGTTAACATCTTTGATTAACACTTTAACAGGTTAACAAATTCTCCATTAGTCGCCTTTTATGACATGCTCGTTAGAGCAGTGGATCTAGTTGTTCCCCACATTCCAAACAATCGAGGAGGCTCTAGAACCCATGTATGGACTTCTGGCTTCAGTTTACAATGTTACATACAACACCCCCCCCCCCCCCCCCCCCCCCCCCCCCCCAAGAAAGTGAGAATCATAGCAGAAACTCTAAATTTTCTGTTGTGAATTACAGAGTTCAGCCCCAAGCTTTGATGATACAGCATCAGTTTGCTCTTCTTCTTCATCACTGAGTCACTTAGACAGACTGCCTTCACTGGAGGATGTGTGGACAGCACTGGTGTGTTTTTTAGATATATTTTAATGGTAATATTGTATTGTATGAAGTATGTTTCTTAAATTTTGACATTAGCTTGAAGTGTATTGACTGTGGCATATATATTTTATGTACACTATCTTCTGTTTAAATTAATGTGGTCATTTTGGATGTCATGAATATTTTTTTTTTTTTTTTGGTAAAGTACTTGAAAGAAGGAAAAACTCTCTCTTAGTGGGAAGGAGGAGAGGAAAGAGAGATAAAAACATTCACTGGGGAAAAGAATACCTGGGAACTAAGAAGAAATTTGGAAACCATGAGTGGAAACAAACAGAATGAATGAGATGATATAGGATATCTGGAAAAAACATTACAGAACGTTCTACAAAACATCTTGCATCATGTTATCTTATATTGTTGAACTTGGTTGGTCATTCTAGTTCAGTGCCTTTAAGTCATTCAGTTCAGAAATGGGCATTCCTCTTCTTTTAGTTCTCCCTGCCAGTGGCCTTCATGTGAGAAGGCCATGAGCCTCTATAAAGGCTGTGGTACGATGAATATCCTCCACTGATCCATAGCTTGGAATCCACTGGAATGCCGACTAGCCAGACCTGGGATCATATACACTGCACGTAGAAAACATGCCTGCAGCGCTGGTCAGCATACTAGGGTGCTTGTCCCCACGGGCAAATTCTGATTCCTCCAAAATTGGCAGTGAAATCGTCTCTATTGTCTTTCATTCTCAGCAGTTGTCTTCAGCTCACTGCAGTTCTGAGCACCAACATCCTTTGCAAGCTCCTGTGATTTAGCTGTTCATTGCACATACTTTTGTTTTCTCTTGCCTTGAAATTTTTTCTAGAGCAGTGATTTCCAAACTGTGCCCTGAGGCGCTCCGGGGAGCCGTGACCTTTTTACAGGGGCGCCGCAAAATATTCAAAGATACATGAGTTTTTTTTTGGGGGGGGATCTCTTACATACAAATAGTATGTATGGGAAAGACCTGGCGAAGATGGCGGCGCAAACAACGTTCGCCGAAAATTGTGACTAAAAAATGTGTTTATTCCTGGAAAGAATGTTAAATGTGTTATAGAACAAGTGATAGAATTAATGGAGAAATATAATGTTAATGTAACAAACATTACATCTCCCCCCGACACTTCGATAAGGTACAAGGTGGAAGAGAAGAAGACATACGAAAAGTCATACTTTTACTTAGGTTACGGCCCCACTGACAATTTTTTAATTAAAAAAAGGCGCCGCGACTAAAAAAAAAGTTTAGGGAACACTGCTCCAGAGTATTTTCAGCAGCAGACCCCTATGTCTCCAAAGACAGCCGACTTTTTTCTGTCTTTTACAACCTCATCTCATAAGCTTTAACCAAATAGTGACGTAACCCACCAAGAAACGAAAACATTAATACAATCTAGTATCCAAGAAAGGTGGCTGGATACCCGCACCAGATTTTCTCCCCAAGACTCACTTCATCGCCTCTTTAGAGAGGGACAGTGTATCATATTCAGAATAAGGACTGGGCGCAACAGATTTCGTCAACATATGTTCACATTTTTCCGTGTAGGAAATACAGTGACGTGTCCCTGCAGCGTGGCACCCGAAAATGCTGAGCATGTGCTCCAACACTGTCAACTGTATGCTGACAACAGAGACGCAATCTGGCTTGTTCCAACCACAATGAAGACAAAACTGTATGGTATACGAGAGGATGTGGATTGCACGATAGCTTTCATAAAGGCTACCGGCCTCCTGATATAAGTTTTCTGACAGAAGGAAGAAGAAGAAGAAGACAAGCTTTCAAGTTATTTTCATCTTTTATGGTTCACAGAGCGGTATAAGTTTTACCAGCCAGAATGTAGGAGATTATTTTTCCTCAGTTCAGTATTATTATTACTTGATGTTAATGCAGATTGGACAGTTTCAAACTGTATATTAGAATCTAATTTTTAACAACAGACACTAGCTATATCCTTGTAAATTTACTTAGTTCTGTTTTGTAAATGATATATATTATAAAAAAGGAGTTTATATATTTTTTAAAGTAAAGATATTTTCAGAAATATTTGTCAAACATTTCTTAAATAAGATTGATTGATTGATTCATTCATTCATTCATTTCTCAGGATTCCCCTAGTTTCAAAACTCCAAAAGGAATGCCTCCAAAAAGGTCACGCAGTTTAACATACAAACATTACAATGAAGACACCTGTTCTCCTTTGAAGTATTCTCCTATCAAGTCTTCATCACTTCCCCGGCCATCATTTTCAGAAGCTTTGTTTATTTCTCAGGTAGTCATTTGTGTTTGATGGAATAAAAAACTTTTCATGTTTTTGTTGAAGATTGATACCGTGAAGATTAAATTTAAAAATGACTGTTTTTAGTAGTTCCGGTCCGGTACTAGACAGAAGTCATGTTATCAATGCCATGCGCAGCACTTACATACAGAGGACCACACCACAGAACAGGACTCAGTATTTCTCTCTAGACTAATGGACATGGGGGTGCAGCCTGAAGCTGCGAGAATGAATATTTCGCTAAGAGGACTAGACGTTTCATTTATCAACACAGAACTGGTGTCATTAGTGTTTGTACACTTTTGGAGCTATTAAGGAGGAGATCGGAGCACCTGTGGATCAGTCTAATTACTAATCACTAATCGCTGTCTTTAGTTGGTAGTATTTTTTAAAATAAGCACTAACACAGTTTACCTGTTTAGTAGTAGTGTAAGTAATGGTCATTGAGTTAACTGTATGTGTCAATTCCTCTCTTCCAGAATAATGGCTGACGGATTCTGTTTCTGGGGCAGCTCTTATCGAGTTTGCTCTCTAAACAGTTTGTGGTCCCTTGCTGATGAGATTCTGTCTGTCTGGAGAGTGGACCACCACCATCAGATCATTGCGAGCACAGGATGGTTGAGGCTGCCAAATTTATTGGTCATAATCCCACATAGACATAGCACAACGACAGTACACACTGCTCCCACGAAAAAAAAAGCGTATTGTCTTGGAAATGCATACACAAAAGCAGTCAGTGACAGTGGAACAGAACACTCTGAGGAAAATCACAACCACCAAAAAAATAACACAGCCACTGGAGAGTGGAAATTGTTTGCATAATGAAACCATGTTTTCTGTGGATCTAACCCTTACTGAAAATAATCAACTTCAGGTTGTTGCTTGGGATCTTTGTTATTAAGCTGACATTGGATGCAGTTTAGTCTTACATAAATACTGACTCTATATTTAGTTTTTAAAGAACCTAATAACACTTAAACATACTCCCCATGTGGGTTCTAGGGCCCTAATGTGGGGAAAACATGAATAGACCCACTGCCTCCCCAAAAGCATGTAATAGGAGTTGACTAACTGGGAGCTTTCTTGGAAGTCATCTGTCAACGCATCTGTCCAGTTGAATAAATCAATAAACTCACACAAAACTCAAGCCCTGTCACAAAGCCAGTGTCCAGATGGACAAACAATCAACACTTTTCTCTTCAGCCTACGGCTGAACAAAGAAGAAGACTTAACCATACATCTTATTCTTCTTCGCGTTCACCAGCTGTAAACTCTGGCGGAAGGTTCTGGTTGCTCGTCCACTGCTGAACTGCAGTCCTGCTCCAGAACCTGAGTGTTGCGTGTGCATCAGTTTTACAGATCTCATTCTCTTGAATACAGACTGTTGGTTGCTTGCCTCTCCGGCAGATGCACTCCGACTTCAAAGGAAGCTCCCCAATTAGTCGACTCTTACGACATGCTTTTGGGGAGGCAGTGGATCTATTCTTGTTTTCCCCACAATGGGGCCCCGGAACCCACACGGGGGATACATCTTATTAATTTCCTTAACCATGTTACAAAAAGCAAAAACATATTTACTTTTTTTTTTAAAAAGGGATCTATTACTGTTATTAAAGGGCTTAAAATACTAATCGCTGAAAATGTGAAATAATGTTTTAGTAAAGTATTCCTGCATTACTTGAACAGATTCCAGAAAGTGAAGATGAATCAATTGAAAGTCCAGTTTTGAATGATGGCTTTCGAGAACTTTTCAAGCTAGATAATGTAAGAGATCTTTTGTATGCTAATAAAGCCACTCAAACTTGTCATTTCCAACTTTCTCTGTCTGTCTCTGTCTCTCTCTGTCTGTCTCTCTCTCTCTTTCTCTCTCTCTCTTTCCCTCTCTAAACTTATTTCCAACTCTATCTCTCTTTCTCAGTCATTTAACTTTAAAAAACAAAAACAAATTGATGTAACCAGTTCATTACCGTCACAGCACCCACCAAGTTGCATAAATTAGGCCTATGTTGGCAAGGCTTCTCTATGTGGGGGGAAAAGGTGCCGGTACTCACAACAAATGCTGGTACTCATAACAAATACTGGTACTCACAACAAATGGTGGTACTCGCAACAAATACTAGTACTCACAACAAATGGTGGTACTCACAACAAATACCGGTACTCACAACAAATACTGGTACTCACGACAAATACTGGTACTCACAACAAATACTGGTACTCACAACAAATACTGGTACTCACAACAAATACTGGTACTCACAACAAATACTGGTACTCACAACAAATACTGGTACTCACAACAAATACTGGTACTCACAACAAATGGTGGTACTCACAACAAATGGTGGTACTCACAACAAATACTGGTACTCACAACAAATGGTGGTACTCACAACAAATACTGGTACTCACAAAAAATGGCGGTACTCACAACAAATACTGGTACTCACAACAAATACTGGTACTCACAACAAATACTGGTACTCACAACAAATGGCGGTATTCACAACAAATACTGGTACTCACAACAAATACTGCTACTCACAACAAATACTGGTACTCACAACAAATACTGCTACTCACAACAAATACCGGTACTCACAACAAATACTGGTACTCACAACAAATACTGGTACTCACAACAAATACTGGTACTCACAACAAATACTGGTACTCACAACAAATACTGGTACTCACAACAAATGCCGGTACTCACAACAAATACCGGTACTCACAACAAATACTGGTACTCACAACAAATGGCGGTACTCACAACAAATACGGGTACTCACAACAAATGGCAGTACTCACAACAAATGGCGGTACTCACAACAAATGCTGGTACTCACAACAAATGCTGGTACTCACAACAAATGCCCGTACTCACAACAAATGCCGGTACTCACAACAAATGGCGGTACTCACAACAAATGCCGGTACTCACAACAAATGCCGGTACTCACAACAAATACTGCTACTCACAACAAATACTGTATGCCCTGTATGCCCCTTACACCTGAAGCCATGGAAAAGGGTCCTTTTTATCATTGATAGTTTGTTGCAAGTAAACTTTGCAAATAGCATGTTTAATATTAACAGTCATAAATCATCTTCAGTAATTTATAATTATTAATTGCTCAGTTCTTGTTCTTCCAATCCCTAAATGATTTAGTGGAAGAATGAGGCTGAGGGGCAGGTGTCATCTCTGATTCATGCTAAGCTACTGCACCAGCCTCACAGAGATAAACTCAACGACCCTGATCCTGATGATGTGGCAGAAATCTCTAAGGAAGTCACTTTGGTGTTTAGCACTGACGCTGACACTCCCTCAGTAAGTGATATTTAAAAAAAAAAAATCCTATGTTAAACTATTTATTGACCTCATTAGCATGCAAAAATGTCATTCTGGAAATTAAAAAAAAATTGTTCAGTAATTGTTCACCTTTGATGTGCTATAAAACTTTCTTTACTTAGTCGCTCCTCTACTATCTTGGAGTGTAGAGGTTTGCCAGAGAGATTGCCAGATGTCTCTGTCAGCAGTTTTATTTCAGGCTTTGTTCCATTCCAGTCCACTGCCAGTTAGGGACTGTCAAATGTTGTCTTCCCAGCGGACCCTGGGTTGCCCTGGAGGTCTGGTTCCTTGGTTCTTAGCCTCTCATGCCTGCCATAGTGGCCAGTTTTCCCCAGTTATGCATACATGTCCAAACCATCGTAACTGTGACTGATCCACTCATGTTTATGAAGCGTGGGTGTCAAGATCTATTTGCAAACTTGTCCCTTCTTGTCACTTGGACCACCATTTTTAGATATCTAATTTCTGACCCCTGAAGTTGGCTTCTGTGCGCTGTTGTTATTGCCCATGAGTCACACACGTAGGTCAGGACTAGCGCATAACACTTTCTGATATTATTTAAAGTATTGGATATTTGGGGTCCTTCACAATGGTTTTTCTGAAACTTCTTTGCCTTCTGTGTTCCTAATTCCCCGGCTAGGGACAAAGTATGTCTTACCAACATACTTAAAGGCTGTCTTTCTTTCTGCGATGTAGATGTCCTTAAGTTTGATAAGTCCATGAAGAAATACATACTAGTTAAGAAACACATACTAGTTAGGAAACACATACTAGTTGAGAAACACATACTAGTTGAAAATTAAGTGTTACACTATACTTCTGGTCAAAATGGACGCCAGGCGCGGTTACTGTTTTGCGTTGGGGCAAATTTTTTGCTTCTGCCAGACGGTGGCCGTTGCATTTTTGATCCATTTGTATACTGGAAGGATACAGTTTCGTTGCCCCAGCTACTGAGTTGAGTGCAATGCGCGACCCTGTAAGCTGCAGATTTCATTTGGAATGTTTTTCCGACTGTGACCAACGTGGTGTTGTGAATTGTAGATTTAAAAAATGGCACGTGGCCTGTCGCCGCAATGGTGGTGGTGCCCTTATGTGATTGATCTTGATCGCGTGCGCAACTGCTGATCTGTTGGCGACTTCTGCTACTGTCGATGATGAACCGCATTTCTAATGTCAAACTGTTTGTGTTAGCACTTCTGATGGCTACCTTTTGATTTTAATGCGTGTGTATGCTAGTGCATATGCTAAGACAGCAGTCTGACAATCTTTCCACAAGGGACTGCGACGAACATTCTGTGTGTTTTTCGTTGGCACAGGAGCAGAGCAACTATGGGGTGACTCGTTTGCTATGCAGCTGAAACTGAGATTACCAAGAAATAAATTTTGTGTAACAAAATTAGAAGTCTTAAAATATTTGTCAAGACAGAATTTTGTGCGTTTTCTCCAGGGTTGTTCAGCTAATGGTCGCCGTAAACTACAGAGATCTCAGTCTGTGGATTGCAGACCGCGTCCTTCTTTCAAGCGGTGTGATCCTCCATCTGAGAACCCAGATCCTGTTCTCAATAAAAAATGGAGAGGAGAAAATGAAACTTCGACAGATAAATCAGACGACGTTGAGGATGATGTCTGTGACATCATGGTAAGATATTAAGGTGTATTAACAGTAACATGTTTATAATTCACTTCATTTGTACATATTTATTATAGGGATTATATAAGGTGAATATATCATGTATAAAGTTGTTAAGTAAATCAGTCAATTTAATTTAGTATTTTATTTGGGCGAAATATTAATAAATACATTTTCTTCTTATTCTCCCCTTCCATTTTCTTCATTGGAAGAGTAGGGGAGATCTTCTTCTTGTTCACCAGCTATAAATTTTGGAAATTTCTGGTTGTTCGCTAACTTCCGGACTTTTTTCTTGTTCCAGAAATTGAGTTTTGCATGCAGATCAGGCTTAGATACATATCACTTTCCTGCCTGCATGTTGCCAGCACATGAGATTTCCTGAATGCTTGCATTCATACCATGGCTGTACCCACAGGCTGCTCTATGTTCTAGGGGTGTTAGGATATGCGTTCCTTCCTCTGTTTTGCCGTCTATACACACTGCCGAAAATCCTGCTCGGGCTGGTGTTCAACTTAGCTTTCATTTCTCTGTGAACTATGTCTCTTGTGCACCGGTCAGTGATTTGAGAATTGGTTGCCATGCTTTAAAATTAGAGAATTACCACTTTCGTGTTTAATGTCACCCAGTACAGGCGCTAGCAAATCAAACACTTAATACAAAGGTTTTATTCTACAGTTTTGTTATTCGGATTTGTAATAGAAATAGGCTGATATTCGTCTGAAGCGCAAAAAACAAACAGTCTTGGAATGGAAATGTTTGTTGAACCTCAGTACAGATTTCAGCATAAAGTGTCTGGTTGAAAAAATCGTTTTCAACAACATGACACCCCTAGAACATAGAACGGCGCACGGGAACGTAAATGGTAGCTGACAGAAAATCTTGCGCGCCGGCAAGATGTGGGCAGGTTTGTGACAAGTACCCTGGCTTATCTGTATGCAGGCTGTTGGTTCTTTGCCTCTCAAGCAGATGCACTCCAGCTTCGAAGGAAGCCCTAATTAGTTGACTCTTTTGACATGCTTGTCGGGGGCATTGGGTCTATTTTTGTACTCCCCACAATGGGACCCCGGGATCCACACAGGGAGGAAGCGTAGGGTTAGATGTAAGCATTTTCTCTGTGCTCTTTCAAATGTGTTAATATGATTTTGATTTATTTAAGGTTGTTTTTGATGCAGTCATTCCATATTTGTGTGGTCTTCACCTAGCACTGTGCTCATTATATTTCTTCAGCATGCCTCTCTCTAGCAGTTGGTACTAGGGCATTCTTATCATGTAGCCAGACCATCATCTGTTGCTCTTTAATTAATTTTGTGTCTTGTTTCAGTCTCATTGTTCTTCTGATTCCTTCATTTTCAGTTGTCTCTTCTTCTGACCCCATAAGCTCTCCTAAGGTATCTCATTTCTTTTATGTTTTTTGCAATAATTAATTGAAGTATGGGTCCTTGTTTGAGATTGATAGCATAAAGTTGGTCAAAAAATAGTGCTTATTAGATTTGCCTTAGTAGATAAAGATATTTTTCTGTGTGTCAAAAGTAGTAGCATTTGTCCCAGTACTTAATTTGCTTTTGCACACTGTATGTTGATTTCTTTATCCCTCTTTCTTCTGAAACAAATAGTGACTCTAGATCAGGGTGGGAAAATTTTTCTTTTTTGGCCACGACCAAATTAAGAATTGCTAACCTAGTCGAGGCCATATAGAAAAAAAGCCATTATGAACATAATACTCAGATTTCGTTGTAACACGATATTTTTTGAGGGATAATCTAAGATATTAGTCCCTCGCTACGCCTCTGATCATATACACTCACACACTAAAGCTTTTACATCTGTACATATTTCTAAACTATATATTTAATCAGATTATTTAGTCAATGAGATCACTCTGGCGTTAATATATCCACCCCAGCTCTAAAAAATTTTATTCACTTGTTTGCCTTTATTTATGTTATGAAATAAAATAATAATTTCCCCCTCAGATGCCGAAAGCTCGTCGCTTGCACAGATGCCACTCTGAAACAGAGGCAATGATAAAGTGTGCCATTTCTCGAATGTACTCTGAACCTGACCTACTTGGAGACTGTTCCAAGGTAAATGTACCTACAGAAGTAGCATAGATATTTGTTAGACAAATTCCATCCATGGGCTGAAACGATGGCATGGAAGGATATCATCAAGAGAGCTGTTCCAGGCAACCAGGGATTGTGATCTGTGGAGATGCATGAGCGCCTACACTGGTTGGCACATGATGATTATGATGATTCCATCTTAGTTTCAGTAACACAGCTTTTATCCGTATACTGCATTATCTGAATCACATCAAAGAAGAGGAGCCTTGGCTGCGCAGGGCTATCATACTTGCTGGTCCACTGGTAACAGATTTGAACCCCCATTGCGGGGGATCTATACATATGACCTGTCACCTTTACTTCTTGGGATATTTTGTCGTAAATATTTTAGATTAAGTCTACTTGGAAGCGCTGGGTTGAGTATACAATCCTTCTCTGTGTGCATTTTTTCTAACCCAAGCACTTTGGGCCAACAGGCAAGTTAGCCACCGCGCTATCGAGGATTCGGTACAAATTTATACTTGAAAAAAGTAGACATTCTGATTGAAATGTTTCTTAGATTTTGCGTAAAACATTTATCATATTTATTAAAATGTATAGAGTGTATAGCAATTCTACCTGCTGCAAATGAAAAGGATGCCAAACCACCCGCTGCCCGAAAAACTGGCAGCCATGATGAAAAAAAAAACTGAATAAAGCGCACAAGCCTAAAACTTCTAACTAAAGAATTGAGAAAGTCACACTCCTCACTACTAAACCAACAGTGCGCACCCGAAGAGCTATTTTTTTATCTTTGGGACTCAGAATCATTGACGCTCAGTGCTTCAGTTTTTATCCCAAACCTGGGAAACAAAGATGCTGAGTCCACTTTAGTGAAGAAGGCACTCACAATGGAACACTTCAGCAACATGTTCCCACAGGACAGCTGGACAAGAATCCACACAGATGGATCAGCAAAGGAGGCATTGTGTAGCAGGTGTTCACATTAAACACCCAGATGCCACTACTGTGTCCCTGGCAGCCCCAGCCAGACTTGCTCTAACTACAAGGCAGTGCTTTCAGCCCTACTGATGGCAGTGCAGTATATTAACAAGTTGTAAACCCCTACAGGCAAGATGGTTTTTCTCACAGACTCACTGTCAGCCATGCAGGCTCTAGTGTCCATAACTACTGTAGGCACACTACAAAGGAACTTGCTATGTTGTCTAAAAAAAAAGGCAGAAACTGGCCTGCAGTAGATTCCCTCTCAAAGTGGCATCAAAGGCAATGAAAGCACTGATGCTTTAGCCAAGGAAGGCATCAAGCAAACCACAAATCTACCAGCCACTAACTTTTCCAGAAGTCAGAACCCTCAATAAAAGAAAATCAGAAACAGATTGCAAAACTCACACAGGTTATAACCATGAAAAAGACTTCCTTAAACACCTGAACAGAACAGACCAAGTCACAGTTTTCTCTTACGTATTGGACACTGCAGACTCAAGGAGAACACTCATATAAATTAAGTATGAGCTAAACAGCTCTCTGCCAGTTTCTTCATGCTGAACAGACTCCAGAACATTTCATGCAAGACTGTCCTCTCTTGGCGGAGCTGTGAAGCAACATATGGCAACACCCAGTAGACCTGACAACTAAGCTTTGGGGAAACTTAAGAGATCTTGAGATGACATCCCAGTTTATGGTCTACAGTGGACCACTTATGACCAGAGATCGCTGAAGAAGAACTTTTTTTGTTTGTTCTTGTCCTTTCCTCATTTTACTAAAGAACTATATTCGTTTTTAATTAGCTTGTAATAAGCTTTGTGTTGAAAAAAAAATCCAGTTTGACAATTTGCATAGAGAGAAAAGAAGTGGCTTAGATGCAGAGATCAGTGGCTTCGAGTGAAAAATCAGTGGCTACTTTGGAAGCCAGATAAAAAAAAAAAATATGTTCTGATCAAGTGTAAAAAGTACAAGAGAAAGATACAATCACATCTCACTGTCACACATTGTTTTGAAAAAACGTTAGTGTACAATTAGGCTAGTTAGTTGCGTATCCTTTACAGGACGTTGCAGAACCAACCCCAACAGCCCCTGGCTGTTGTGTGGTTTTTCTAGGCAAATTTACGTCCAGTAGTTTGCCATTGCTTTCTGGAAGTACAATTAGGTAACAGAAGTAAAAATAGGATTTCATTTATTTCAACATTTGCCATGTTTGTCATCAGACGTACTGTTTGCCTACCATCAGTGGGAGACACCAGGATCTCAAGTCGATATCCCCAGAGACAGTATGTTTATGTCATTGTTGTCTTTCTTTGTTTAACATTTTTTTTTGGCTGACATATAAAGCTGCCTGTGCAGTGTGCAATGACCATATTTCCCGTTTTCTCTTGGACAGTCCTGTTTTTGTGTGTGTGTGTGTGTCCTGGCCGTCCCGCCAGTACTAAAAAAAAAAGGTCCAATTTTTTAAACATCTAAGAATGAGCAATGGGCGCGCACACACACAAATAAAAATACTGCATAAGTAGAACCAGTAAGAACAAGGCGTTTGGTCTAACTAGAAAGAGAATTTAGAAAGCTACAAGGGACAAAATATACATATACATATCGAAAAAGAGAAAATCTATACTACACGAGTGGAATCAGTAAGAACAAGGTATGCAGTCTAAGCAGAGATAAAGTTAAATTGGATAATTTACAAATATAAAAACTAAAAAAAATTTTTTTTTAGTTAAAAAAAAAAAAATTTTTTTTTTTCAAAAAAAGGAGTTTGGGGGGGGGGGGGGGGGGGGGGGGGGGGGGAGGAATGCTATCCAATTACAGAAAAAGTATTTTAATGAATTGGTGTGGCTTATACAATTTGCAGGAGTATATATTTTCATGTTCTTAAAATGTTTAAGTTCCTTGAAGAAAAAAAAAAAAAGGTAAATTCTACAAACAAATAGGGGGGGGGGTGTACTGTTTTATTTCCTGGAGACATATCATTGGAAGATGTCCTGTGTTCAACTTAAAATATTAAATGGTTATGTCCCATTTTCAGCTCAAAATATCAGTGGGATGATGTCCTGTTTTCAGCTCAAAATATCAGTGGGATGATATCCTGTTTTCAGCTGAAAATATCGGTGGGATGATTTCCTGTGTTCAGCTGGAAATATCAGTGAGATGATGTTCCATTTTCAAATCAGAACTTTAGTGGGATGATAGCCCGTGTTCAGCTCAAAATATTTGTGGGGTGTTGTCCCGTTTTCAACTTAAATTATTAGTTGGATGATGTTCCATTTTCAGCTAAAAATATTAGTGGGATGATGTCTTGTTTTTAACTCAAAATATTAGCGGAATGTCCCATTTCCGGCCCTAGGTATTATGGTCACCTGTGGCAGGCATGGACTCTTACCTCAACTGATCTCCTGAAAAGCATGACAGAGATGAAACGTCTTAGAAGAGCTGATGAGTAACAAGGAGAGATAACATTAAAAATGAAGAAAAACCCAAGTACTTCCTGTCTTTTTAATTTCACTGTCTTATTCCTTTCTCCAGGGTCTTTTGGTGTATCTGCCTATATTTCTGTGCCTCTGTGGGTTTCAGTGTAAAGACATTCTAGTCATAGTGTTCTCATGTTTGCTCAATGTGTCCTGTCCAGCGACAGCATCTTTTCTTCACCTCCAGGGTAGCTATACAGTTTTCATGTAGAAAACAGAAACAATCAGTGACTAACACAGGTGTTGATGGGAAGGGACAGACAACTCTCATTTAACTCATGATATCCACTAAATAAGCACATGTACAAAATGTTGAATAAAGAATCAACATCACAGTACTCGGGACGCTCCCATAAATGCTCCGTCCCCATCATCAACAGCAAGCCAAGATTTCCAATTCCAATGGCACTAGTAACTGTCTGATTGTAAATCCATCTCACATTTCCCCTGAGTGTTTAGCACCGGCCAGATCCCCGTGTAACCCCTTGCAGCGCCATTCTCCCCAGACCGTAATGATCTATCTGTGCCTCCTCACTGCTTAATCACTCCCAAAGAGCCCTCACAACATCCAGCTTGTCATACATCAGTTCACCACCAAGCGGTGCAGAACCGACCAGTCTATCTGCCTGCTCATTTGCCAACACCCTGGCATGACCTGGAGAAAACATCCAAAGGATGCTAACTACACGGGACCTCTGAAGTGATAGATGTACAAGCTCTAGCCATATTCTTCTTCTCATCTTCTGCATTGTAGTTTTCAACACATCATTCAGTAAAAGGTCAAGGACCCTTGTCGCATCAGGCATATGGTGCTAGACTAATACTTTTTTAAAGACCAGTCGACATTCAGTGGGTGAAGTGGTCAGCATCACACCAACCGCCTTTACTTTCAAGGACTTTACCTGATACCCATTTTAGGGTTGGTTGACCTGAGAGCCAACGTGTCATTTGTGAGGGAAGGGGGGATCCAACTCAGTGCAGATTTGAACCCATTACCTTTGAGTCGGAGTTGAGCGTATCACAATACCCTCAACCAACTCTTGTGACTCAGGAGGGAGAGATGGCATGAGAGGATCCACCTCATACACAGTTATATTTTTACTTTCTTATTTTTCCTCCAGTGTTATTTTTAGCATCTTCTTTCTTCACAATTATTTTTTGAATGTTCTTGTTTTTTACAAATATATTTTAGTCTCTTCTTTTTTTGTCCACATTCCTGTTTCTCTGCTTATTTTAATTTAAATTCTGAATGAAATTTGGTACATGTTTGTTGACCTCATTTCTATTTTTTTCTCCAAAAGTTGAGCCGACTTTTGGCAGATGAGTTTTGTGAAGTGGTTGAAGAGTTTCATATTATTGATTGTCGATATCCGTATGAATTTGAAGGAGGACACATACAAGTAGGTTTGAGCTATAGTCTGTTGTATCTGTTTTATTTTCATAAAATGAATAACATAGTGATATTTAAAATCTACTTGTTAACACCCCCCGCCCTCCACACACACACACACACACACAATTAGGCTTTTTGGCACATAGTGCTAGATTATAATTTATAGACCAATCTGCACTCTCTAGATGATGTCGTCGACATTACGCCGACCGTCTTTACTTCCCAGGACCTTACCTGCTATCTCTTTTAGACTGGGTCGACCTAGGAGCAGAGATCATTTTTGAAAAAATCTGGCTCAATGCGGATTTGAACCTACAACCTTCGAGCCCACGGTGAGCTTATAATTGCTATACCACGACAGCTTCCAAGACACGACCAGATAAAAAAAACTAACGTTGCGTGTCCTTTACAGGACGTTGCAGGATACCGTTTTCAAAACTAATGAAAGGTGGTCTGACACCAAATTGTCTGCATCTAGAATGGAACCTGGCACCTCAGGAGTTCCAAGGGAGTTCGCAATGCCTAAGCCACAGATACTGACATGATCAACTAGGCGTCATTTAGAAAGAAAAAAAAAAGATGTCTTCATTAGCCGTGTCCTCCCTGTGTGGGTTCTGGGGCTCCATTGTGGGGTAAACAAGAATAGACCCACTGCCTTCATAACAAGCATGTTGTAGGAGTCGACTAACTGGAGGCTTCCTTCGAAGTCGGAGTGCACCTGCCTGAGCAAAAAGGAACAACTAGCTGCACACAATTAAGCCAGTAAAATGGATGTGCACGCAAAACTCGGGCCCTGACACAAAGCCAAAGTCCAAATGGACGAACTACCATGACTTACCGTCGGAGCTTACAGCCAGTGAATAAAGAAGCTTAGCCATGTTCTTCATGCAGCTTGAACCCACAGCTACAGACAGCTCTTGTGTTGTGACCAATAAACTGTAAATGTGAAATTAATCAACTGGCGTGATGTGGAGGAGTGCAGCAGTTGATTGGGAATGGTATGTTATGTATCACAATCAATGTCGCTGCAGCTTGAGCATTCCCATGCATGCTTAGTCCTCCGATGCAGCAGCCACTCCAAAGTACTTCTACTAATTGTTCCCGTGAGAAACTGGTTATATTGTCTCCCATCTCGGCCATGAAGACTGCATAGACGTGCTTCACCATGCTTTACTCCCATGTCAGGCAATTGTGTTAGTGTCATGGATTCCTCATTATCTACTAGCCCAGTCCGTACAGCGCTGACGATATCTGCTCTGTCCATGCTTTTCCCCCACATGCCTTAGTGCAGTGCTTGTCAGCTGGTCCGCTGGCTCATTTCCCTTTTACGCCTGCATGACGGGGTGTGTAGATCCAGGTGAGGGAGGTTAAGCTCTTTTTTCAAATGCTTTCTACCCATGATTGGGAAGAAGATTTGTTTTTCTCGTCTCTGTACTTGACCTCTAGACAACAGCCAGTGTCTTAAAATTACCTGTGAAACCCAGTACTAAGAGACACATTACAGTATGCATGTACAAGAAATACATAAATATAAACCACAAACTCTTTCAAACTTCCATTTTCCAGAATGCTGTGAATGTCTACACCAGAGATGGAGTGATGAACAAGTATATCAGATCCCCTCTGCGAGTGAAAGATGCCAACAAGAGAATGATTCTTGTCTTTCACTGTGAATTCTCCTCAGAAAGAGGGCCAGGATTGTAAGCACATTTAACTAGGTGTTCCACATGCTGTTTTGTATTTATACCAGTAATAGCCGGTTCAATCCTTCTGGGTTACAGTTGTGATATATAGTAAAAATAAAAGGCAAAAAGAAACTTTTTTGTTACCTAACTGTCCTCTTTACCTGCTCTTCCGAGCATTAAAGAGAAAACCCAACATGATATAGAGAAATGTTAGTTACATGCAAACAAATGGTTAGAATAAGATGGGACTTGGAGACATTGTAGAAAATATGTCTGTCTTTCATCTTGCGCCAATATTCCACCTTTGTGTGCCAATCCACCCAGCAGGATGAGCCTTGTTTCACACAGAGGTACTTTTTGCAAAGTGTGCTCTTCACCTTCATGCATGGATTGTCTTTGTAAGATACACCAGGATTTTGCTTGTTGTACATGGAGTGCTTTTCCATGCACACAACACAGATGTGATTAGCGATGTCCTAGAGGAAATCTTTGGAAAATGATTGCCTGGGCTCGTCAGTTGAAGGCAGGGTTCCTTTTGTAGGTATCTACCAATTATTTGCAGGCACAGTTTCTGAATATATATGGTGAAATAAACTGGCTTTTTGAAGCAGCTTGCTGCTTTGAAGCATACAGGGTATAAGAATTATAAATGGCCCACATAAACAATTTGATGAAAAGCTGCTGGGGCCGATGGTAATGATGACAAGACTGGTGAAGGCAGGTCTTCTGGTTATTTTTGTCACAGCCACCCATGTATTTATTATAGTGCTTCACCAGCTGTGGCATCTGTATTTCTTGCACACTGCCATCTTTGTTGATTACTACATTTTGGGCTGGATCGTGGTAGTTCGAAATAAATGTCATGTGCTTTCTATCCTGCCAGACTAAACATGTTACACTTTCTTGACATAGATAGCGACTGTCACCCCTAGCAAGTTTCTTTAGAACACTTTCCAGTAACTTAGTAAACTGCTTCCTGTTTTGCTGCAGGGTTCCCACGATTCCTGTGTGTAATTCTGACAGTGCATAGTTAGCAAGGGTTACAGAGTTGCAGAACCTGTCCATGACAAGCACAAGAGGTTTTATTTTCCATTGCACATGAGAACAGGAGACGAACGACTGTATTTCCTACTGCGCCCAAGTCTTTTACAGGCATTGGTGCAGCACCAGTCAATGCTGACACATAACGGCAGACATTTGCAATGTCTAGCCATAAGGTTTGACCACGATTGGTTAGTTATTTTTAGTTTGTGACATGTTTTTTCATGTATTAGGCAAAATAGAGAAAATTAGGTATAGCGGTTTGGCGGCAGATTCTAAAATTACCGAAAAATTGGTACAGTGGTCTGTCAAGATCAAGGCATCCACCATCTTTTCTCTTGGTCTGCCTCTACAGTTTATAGTCACTGTTATTTATGATAATAGAGTTTTATTTATTTATTTATTTATTTCCTTTCAGACAGTTATGATATTCATCTAGAGCTCCTCCCCATGTTGGTTGTGAGGCCCCATTGTGAGAGGAAAAATAGAATAGACTCGCTGCCTTCCTAAGAAGCTTGTCACAAGAGTCAGCTAATTAGGGGTTTCCTTTGAAGTTGGAGTGCATCTGCCGGAGAGGCATGAAACCAGCAGTCTGCATGCAAATAAGACATCTGTAAAATGGATGTGCACACAAAACTCGAGTTCTGTAACAAGACAGGTCCAGAAGTGGATGAACAGCCAGAACTTTCCTCTGGGGTTTACAGCTGGTGAACGCGAGGAAGAAAAAAAAATTTAGAGCTTCCATTTATTTAAAACTAAAAGTAACTCACAGCTAAAATGTTAGGAAAATTACATTTATGAAATATGGCCCCCACACCTGGACTGAAAGTATATAGTTCCATCTCCCAGCTACAGCGATGAGTGCATGGCGTGAGAGGTGCACCACCATGAAGAAACCGTGGGGGCGGGGGGCTGCTACTTGATGAATCTATTAAACACTGGAGAGAGAAAAAAAAGAGCAAAACTACACCTTACCAGGGGTCAAATCCCCGGGTCTTCTGTTTGAAAATGGAACACAGTAACTGCTCACCCAGCTGCTCTTCTGCATTGAAAACTAATACAGTATAATTTTTACTTGTCACTAAGTTGTATTTTCATAACCGATGCCAGCTTGTATATTTGTTCTAGCAAACAACTTTGTTTCTTTCTCAGGTGCAGATTTTTGCGCAGACAAGATCGTGAAACAAATAAGGAGTTCTATCCTTTTCTTCTTTATCCAGAGATGTATCTTTTAGAAGGTGGCTACAAACACTTTTTCGAACATTATTCAGTAAGTCATTTTGTGATGTTCAGAACTGTGTTTGTGTGTGCATTGTTGTTTGATGTTAAGAACTGTGTTTGTGTGTGCATTGTTGTTTGATGTTCACAACTGTGTTTGTGTGTGCATTGTTGTTTGATGTTCACAACTGTGTTTGTGTGTGTATTGTTGTTTGAAGTTCACAACTGTGTTTGTGTGTGCATTGTTGTTTGATGTTCACAACTGTGTTTGTGTGTTCATTATTGTTTGATGTTCACAACTGTGTTTGTGTGTGCATTGTTGTTTGATGTTCACAACTGTGTTTGTGTGTTCATTATTGTTTGATGTTCACAACTGTGTTTGTGTGTGCATTGTTGTTTGATGTTCACAACTGTGTTTGTGTGTGCATTGTTGTTTGATGTTCACAACTGTGTTTGTGTGAGCATTGTTGTTTGATGTTCACAGCTGTGTTTGTGTGTGCATTGTTGTTTGATGTTCACAACTGTGTTTGTGTGTGCATTGTTGTTTGATGTTCACAACTGTGTTTGTGTGTGCATTGTTGTTTGATGTTCACAACTGTGTTTGTGTGTGCTTTGATGTTCACAACTGTGTTTGTGTGTGCATTGTTGTTTGATGTTCACAACTGTGTTTGTGTGTGCATTGTTGTTTGATGTTCACAACTGTGTTTGTGTGTGCATTGTTGTTTGATGTTCACAACTGTGTTTGTGTGTGCATTGTTGTTTGATGTTCACAACTGTGTGTGTGCATTATTGTTTGATGTTCACAACTGTGTTTGCGTGTGCATTGTTGTTTGATGTTCACAACTGTGTTTGTGTGTGCATTGTTGTTTGATGTTCACAACTGTGTTTGTGTGTGCATTGTTGTTTGATGTTCACAACTGTGTGTGTGTGCATTGTTGTTTGATGTTCACAACTGTGTGTGTGTGTGCATTGTTGTTTGATGTTCACAACTGTGTTTGTGTGTGCATTGTTGTTTGATGTTCACAACTGTTTGTGTGTGCATTGTTGTTTGATGTTCACAACTGTGTGTGTGCATTATTGTTTGATGTTCACAACTGTGTTTGTGTGTGCATTGTTGTTTGATGTTCACAACTGTGTTTGTGTGTGCATTGTTGTTTGATGTTCACAACTGTGTTTGTGTGTGCATTGTTGTTTGATGTTCACAACTGTGTTTGTGTGTGCATTGTTGTTTGATGTTCACAACTGTGTTTGTGTGTGCATTGTTGTTTGATGTTCACAACTGTGTTTGTGTGTGCATTGTTGTTTGATGTTCACAACTGTGTGTGTGTGCATTATTGTTTGATGTTCACAACTGTGTTTGTGTGTGCATTGTTGTTTGATGTTCACAACTGTGTTTATGTGTGCATTGTTGTTTGATGTTCACAACTGTGTTTGTGTGTGCATTGTTGTTTGATGTTCACAACTGTGTTTGTGTGTACATTGTTCTTTGATGTTCAGAGCTGTGTTTGCATGTGCATTGTTCTGCTTTTATATTTCACACTGCATTTTTTTGTTCTTAGCAAATTGTTTTTTAAGTGTCTCAAGATCTTTAACAAAACTTTGTAATATCTGTTTATTGTGATGAGATCTCCCTCCCTCCCCCCTCCTGGGAGGTAAGCAGGCAGTGAGTTATCAATGTATCAAGTGAATGACCCATTTCACACCAGTGGCTTATCGAGCACATAGTGCTAGATCTACAATTTTTAAAATAAAGCAATTCCTCTTTTTCACCAGCTGTAAACTCCAGCGGAAAATACTGGTTCTTTGTCCACCTTCAGACTTCAGTCCTGTTCCAGAACCTGAGTGTTGCGTGCAGATCCATTTCACAGGTCTGGCTTATTTGTATACAGACTCTTGGTTCCTTGCCTCTCAGGCAGGTTCACTCTGACTTCGAAGGATGCCCCCCAATTAGACGATTCCTACGACATGTATAAAGCAATTGACTCTTGATGGGAGATGTGGTCACCATCATACTGACCACCTTTACTTCTCTGGACATTTAAAGTAAAAGTAAAGTAAAGATCCTTTTCACGCCCTTAGGCGTATCGGGCATATGGGAAGAGCACCCATATTTTTACAGACCAATCGGGACTAGGTGGGTAATATGGTCAGCATTATGATGGCCGTCTTTTCTTCCCCAGGACATACATCCTGGTACCAACTTTAGGCTGAGTCGACCTGCGATGCCCTGTGCCATGATAAAAATCCATGCAGTGGGTTTCAATCGTGGTATGTTGGAATTACAAGTCGGACTCGCAACGCTTAGCCATGGACGCCCCTCTCTGGACATCACCTGGTACAAATCTTAGAGTGGGAGCTAAGCTCCGTTAAACAAATGAAAATAAATTAAATTAACTTTGATGTGGATTTGAACCCTAGACCTTGACATACAAGTAGGCATCAGGCCTGGGTTGGTAAGGCTTCCTCCACCAGTTTCAGGTATTCCATTGTCAGCAGACTCCAACACAGTGCCCAGAGGAAGATGATTAATGAAACATTTTGTGTTAAAGCCTTTCATTGATTCTTGTCATCATTTTTATTTCTTATTTTTCGTTTCTTAGCACTTGTGTGAGCCCAGACAATACAAAACTATGCTTGACAAAAATCACATGGAAGATCTGCGCAAGTGTCGAGCTAAATGCAAGTCCTGGGCAGACGACAAGATATCGTTCAGAACTGGTGTCAGAAACCTCAAGTTCTAAAAGTTTTTTTTTTTTAAACTAAAGTTCAACTTATTAACTACCAAATTAAAATCTGGCAATATTAATTGATTTATTTTTCTTAACAAGAAACATACACTTTCACCTGTAGTAGTAATTGTGTGTTTAATTTAAAACATTTTGTATGGGAAACATTTTTAAAACAAATTTAAATTCATAATTCAACTGCAGAAATCTGATGTTGATTTCTGCATTCGGTAGTTAGTGGATTAAGAATACAGAAATGTCTTATGAATTTTGTAATAATGTACTTTTTTTTTCATTGAGCAAACTGCATTTCCCCATGTTTCAGAGCCCCAGTTTCAGGTTTAAAAAAAAAAGGGAAGTACAAACCAACTGTTCTTTAATAATTGTCAAATAAGGTAACTAATAAAGATTTTCCGGAAAGCAGATGTGTTGGGCTAAAAGGTGCAGATTTCGCTGCCTAGTTGTAAACTACAACACAATGTGCCAACTGCATTTTTAAGGGTTAAAACAGAAGAAAACTGCTCTTCAAAAAAATTATCTCAGAACAAACATGTTTTAAATGAAGTCTGAAGAAAATGTTCTATGTTGTCTTATGGAACTCATTTTTTTTTTTTTAAATTTGCTTCTTGTTCCGTGGGGGGGGGGGGGGGGGGGGGGCTTTTGCTGCAGAGCTGTTGTCTGTAGTAACTGATTTAATTTAAGCATGAATACCCGGTAATACATTGTAAATATGTAACAGAAACATGTGCCAAGTTATTGACTTCAAAGACTGGTTGGCAGTTTTTCTTGGGCAAGTCATTCTACAAAACTTGCTTGATGATTGTTCATAAACTTCTTAAAAAATTAATGAGGTACTGATCTCTACCACAAGATAAGAGATATTACATGCTGTCAATATTCTCTTGTGGGGAGTTTTCATTGTTTTTTTTTGAAAGGCTGTGGTGATTTAAAATTTGTTCTTTATAGTTTCCCTCTGACAAGGAGCTTAAATGTGAGCAGTGTAGCAGTTGGCTTGATTCAGGAGGGGGGAGAAAATTTCCATCTCACTTGCCCTGATGTTCACGGTTTTGGTTTAACAGTGCAGACCGCTGAAGGCGATCACCGATGTGGTGATTTTATGTTTTGAAGAACAATTTGTTTATCCCTGGCAACTTTGTTTGAATTCTTATTTGGATAAAACGAATTTCTGATAAGAAAAAACATTTCTTAGGTTCCCGTTGGTTCTCCTTATCAGTATAGGTCTGCACTGTATTTGAGGCATTTTTATTTTATATTATGTATATTTATTTCTTTGGGGATTGGTAATTTTTTTCTTTTGCTAATTTTTTTAGGTTTTAGCTGTGCAGGTTGTTTTATTATGCTTTGTTTTCTTTTATAATTTACTAGGCGTAAATTCTGAAAAGGAATAGGAAAGTTGATTATGGAGACACAGGTCTGCATATGTTATAAAGATACAGGTCTTCATATGTTATGCCCTTATACCCTGTTCAACTGTAACTCAGTTATATATAAGGTACCCGGCTGTGTTACGAGGTAACTGTTTGTCAAGTGTGGGTGGGTCGGTCAAAGTCTCCTGACAATTCAAATACTTCACAAGTTCAAATACAGTGACAATTTTTGACTCATGACTAAAAGTACATGGGCCAAAATGTATCATCCATAACTGGATATTTTAAGTTTTGTAGTGCCATACATTTGTTACTCAAACACTTTTTGTCGCAAACAGGGTGTACTGAGAGCAGAGCCATTCAGCCAAGTTTGTCCAGGGGTCAAGACCTCGTAAAATGTGGATCATCAGAGGCCTGAGTCATAGCATAGGAAGATCATAAAAAGTAAAGGACCCTTTTCCACGCCTTTAGGCATATAGGGCTAGACCTATATTTTATAGACCAATCGGTATAAGATGGGTGATGTAGTCAGCATCACGCCGATTGCCTTTACTTCCTGGGACTGCACCCAGTACCCACTCAAGGCTGGGTCAACCTGGAAGCCAAGGTCATTTTTGAAAGAAAGAACAGCTCTGCCAGGGAGTGAACCATCTGATCCGCGGTGAACGTCTAGCCACTTCGCCACGGCGACTCCCAGAAAGATCAATAATATGGTACAATTGACAGGTGAGCTGTTTGCCACTTGCTAGACCTCTGTGTCCCAGATTTGGCCCACAGGTCACCAGTTGAATAGCCCTGACTTAGAGCATCAGTTAGTGAAGATAGTACACAATCCTTACCCACACTGAACTGTTTGTTGCTTACACAATGCTAGTGTGGTTGTCATGGGTGCCCTCATTATATCTTAATGGAGGTTGAACAGGGTATCTGGAATTTGCCCTGTTGGCTCACCATCCAGATTGAGATTATTGCATCTCTGGCTGGTCGAACTTTCAATTGACAGCTTTAGGGGAATTAGCAAACTGAAGAGTATCCTTCTGTGATGTATATTACAGGGCTATTCAACTGGCCTGCAGCGATCCCCATTTTTCAACATTTTGGCCCCTGTCCAAACTTGGTTGAATAGCCCTGGTATGGGGATTTGCTTGCTATTGATAGAGTTAAAGATGGATGCACTATTGTGCATTTTATGACTACATTACCTGAAAAATATTCAGTGTATGTTGACAGTGGTAGAAGTGACGATTTGTAAAGGACACCTTTCCACATCTTAGGTATATTGGGCATCCAGGGCTAGATCGAAGCAGTGGCAAACTACTGGACGTAAATTTGCCTAGAAAAACCACACAACAGCCAGGGGTTACTGGGGTTGGTTCTGCACATCCTGTAAAGGATATGCAACTAACCTTTTAGGTCTAGATCTGTATTTTATAGACCAGTCTGCACTTGGTGGGTGATGTGGTCAGTATTATGCCGGCCGCTTTTACTTCCCCGACTTAACCTAGTACCTATTCAAGGCTGGGTCGACATGGGAATCAAAAGTCATTTTTAAAAAAAAAGTCAAGCTCTGTGAGAACCTGAACTTATGACCTTTGGATCCGCAGGTGAGCTTCTAGCCGCTCCCACCATTTGTTATGCTGTACTTAAAAAGCAATAGGGAGACGGGGAATCACAGTCTATGATGATACCAACTGAGGCCAGGGTTTAAGTCCCCTCTGTCTGGCCATTATCATGCAGCATGATTCCTCACTCAGTCTGCTTCATTTACTTGTAAAGGAAATGCCAGTATGCAAAATATTAGTAACATTGTAAAGATGTGATTTTTTTTTTTCATATCTAGTATTTTTCTTACATTATTATTTAGGTTTCTTTTATGTAGACATAGTCATTTCATCAGCTTATTTTATCCTTATAGATGCCTTTTATTCTGTTGAAGTTATTTTAATTGATAGTCAATAAAACAACAGCATTAACTGTGTCACAGACCTCTGGGTGACTTTACCGGACGAACTCCCATAATCTGTCACAGACCTCTGGGTGACCTTGCTGGTCCGTGGCTCGTAACTGGGCCTATGACAGACAGACTAACCTTTAACACACACTGAACCCGAACGCACACAGAGCACACACGACAATCTTTATTGGAAGTACAGGTAATACATAGACAGTTGACTTCCCGCTGTGTGGCCACCTATTGCCTGGACCCTCTGGCCGAACGGGCTTTACAATCGCCTCGTCCCCCAGTACATGCTACAGGCAATCTCCTGGTGTATAAACCACAGCCCGGCGAGATACGTTCTTTTCTATCGCCACGCTGACCCAATCAAACTGTCACAGCCTCTGTCTAGCACAGGGTCAGAGTGCCAAGGTTAGCCACTCTCTCACAGCACATGTACATAAATACTCTACACAAGAACTATCCTATCCTAACAGAACACTGTACATAAACTATCCAGTCACTAACAGAAATATCCTAACTCTAATACTATAACTGTCTTGCTAAACGTCCTCTCTTCCTGACCGACGCACACCGAATGTCCCGTTCTCTCTCCCTCGTGTCTCTTGACCCCGTTCACCAGCTCAGTCCCAAAAGCCGTAATCGTGTTGCGGATTTGTCCACAACACGGTTCACTCTTTCTTGCTTTATCCTGAGCGCTGGTTTCGCTGTGCAATCACAGAACGGACTTGCCCAGTCACGGCCCTGACCTTTGTGTCAACCCTGGGGTGTCACCTCAACACGCACACCTTACGGTGTGGTACATTCCGCCACTGACTGTACTCACAGGGTTGTGACAAACTGTCTGTCCTTATGTTGTTAAAAATCCACTCTTAGCTCCCGAAAAATGAAGGTTAGAGGTAATTTTAATTATAAATAATTAAACCAGTAAGTAAATGAATTTAAAAAAAAAATAAAGACAATAATTCACTTATTAACCTGAGCACCATAGGTTTGTTTATGCATAATACTGATAATTTGAGATGCTGTTTAGTCTAATATCACGTACCTAGTTTGCCTTAGTGGCATGTAGGAGGTTTCACTTCAACTGCTATTATAATACCCATGTAATTATTATGTGTAGTTTTTCTACATCACATCATCTGTGTAAACATACTGTTTGGTTGTTGTTATGTAACATCTGTGTAAACATACTGTTTGGTTGTTGTTATTTAACATCTGTGTAAACATACTGTTTGGTGGTTGTTATTTAACATTTGTGTAAACATACTGTTTGGTTGTTGTTATTTAAGTTAACATCTGTGTAAACATACTGTTTGGTTGTTGTTATTTAAGTTAACATCTGTGTAAACATACTGTTGGTTGTTGTTATTTAAGTTAACATCTGTGTAAACATACTGTGTGGTTGTTGTTATTTAAGTTAACATCTGTGTTAACATACTGTGTGGTTGTTGTTATTTAACATTTGTGTAAACATACTGTTCAGTTGTTATTTAAGTTCACATCTGTGTAAACATACTGTTGGGTTGTTGTTATTTAAGTTAACATCTGTGTAAAGATACTGTTTGGTTGTTGTTATTTAACATTTGTGTAAACATACTGTTTGGTTGTTGTTATTTAGGTTAGCATCTGTGTAAACATATGGTTTGGTTGTTGTTATTTACGTTAGC